GCCAGCCGCGCTCGGCGAGAGGGAGGGCGCCCGCCCGCCGCCGCGCCGCCGTGCTGCCGGGCGCCGCTTTCCGCGGAGGATCCGCGAGACGGAGGCTGTCCGCCGCCCCGACATGGCGATCGCAAGGCAAGTGCTTTGTCTCTCTGCTTTCCTCTCCCTGCCGCACGCTCGCGCCGAGCCCATGCGCTACTCCGTAGCCGAGGAGGCGGAGAGCGGCTCCGTGGTAGCCAACGTGGCGGAGGACGCGGGGCTGGCCCCGGCGCAGCTCTCGGCTCGCCGCGCCCGCCTGGCCTCGGAGGACGGCCGGCAGCACTTTCGCTTAGACCGCGGCACCGGCCGCCTCGTAGTGGCGGAGAGGCTGGACCGGGAGGAGCTGTGCGGGCAGGCCGGTACCTGCACGCTCCCCTTCGAGCTGCTGCTGGCAAACCCCCTGCAGTTCTTTCGGGTCGAGGTGGCCGTGGAGGACATCAATGACCATTCGCCCGTTTTCCCGGAGGAGCGAGTCACTTTTACGATCCCGGAAACGAGCAACCCGGGCTCGCGTTTCCCGCTGGAGGGGGCTCGGGACCTGGATGTTGGCAGCAACAGCATCCAGGCTTACAGCATCGCTCCCGAGAACGAGTACTTTGCTGTCTCCTTTGGGAGTCGGAGTGAGGACGACAAGTATATTGAACTGGTCTTGGAAAAGGCGCTGGACAGAGAGGAGCAGGCGGAGCTGGCTTTCAGTCTCATTGCCGTGGACGGAGGCTCTCCGCCCAGGAGCGGGACCACCCAAATCCGCATTGTCGTTCTAGATGTCAATGACAACGCTCCGGTTTTCACACAGAAGGTGTACGTTGGGCAGGTTTTGGAAAACGCGCCAGAGGGCTCTGTGGTTCTCAGCGTGGTGGCAAGCGATCGGGATGTGGGAGCTAACGGGGACATCGCCTATCAGTTCAGCCAAGCAGTGGGCCAGAGCCCCTCGGCATTCGCAATTGACCCCACGAGCGGTGAAATTAAACTCACGAAGCCTCTGGACTTTGAGGCGGCAGAGAATCACGAGCTCAGTGTGCGGGCCACAGACGGCGGGGGCCTCTCGGCAATCTGCAAGGTGTTGGTGGAGGTGGTGGACGTGAATGACAATGCACCGGAGCTGGTGGTCAGTTCCTTCAGCAGCCCCCTCCCCGAGAACGCATTACCCGGGACAGTGGTCGCCCTCTTTACCGTCAGGGACCGGGATGCCGGTGCCAACGGGAAGATCTCCTGTGCCCTTGAGGACCAGCTGTTGTTCTCCCTGCGGCCGGCCTATAAGAATTACTACGAGCTGGTGACCGTGAGCGCTCTGGACCGGGAGGAGACGGCTCGGTACGTCCTCACTGTCACG